TTTGACACTCATGAATGTTGATGATAGAATATGAAGGATTCTTCAATATAAAGTATACCTTGAATTGGTAGGGCTTATGCATCATTTTCTTGTATAAATGATTATATTGTTGATTGTTGAATCCTCGGATCGGTAGGCTAGTGGCACCCTTCCACACGAGCTTATAATGAACCTTGGAATCGGTAGGCCTATGGCACCTTTCCATGAAGGTTAATGATGACACTTGAACCGGTAGGCCCATGGCACCCTTTCAAGAGGAGTTAATGAGCTTTCCTAAATGAACCTTGAAACGGTAGGCTTAAAGCACCCTTTCACGTGTTAATAAATGTAATTTGGAGTTGGTAGGCCAATGGCACCTCTCATATGTGATAATGTCAAGGTAACGAACTATTCTATGGGAATGTTGGCTAAGCACCGAGTGGATTTGGTTAGATGGAAACTCCCCCAATAGTTAGGCATGAGTTTCAATGATCGTCTACCTTATCCCATAAACTATGTGCCCGCATAGGTAGCTAGTGGATCCATTAAGCTATATATACCGGTCTTTCTTAGGCAAGTAGACCACCTCTTTACGGTGTGGGGACTTATGACACCGGATTCCATGACAAGCTCTCATGGTCTATGTCGGTTAAACGCTTACTTCCCATCATGCGAGATTTCATTATGGTTTCTTGATAGGTTCTACAAAGTGTAGGTAGTAGTATGAGATGCTACCTATACATTGCACGAGTAGGCTTGGAGAGGGTCATAGTGAGTTTCTCTAAATCCTAATGTATGTGATACAATTGTGGCCTAAATGAGGTTATTAAAGAATGTTGGCTCTCAAATGCTTAATATGAGATGCATGTTATACTTGGGTTATATTACGAGTTATTTTCCCTTGTCATGTCTTAATTAATGATATACCTCTTATGTATGAATATGGTGCAAAGGTGAAAGAAAGGAATGATAAGTTACTTTAAGTGACCTAAATGTGGTGCCTTAGTATGGATGGTGGTATGAGACGCCATCCATACATTGCACGAGATATAGCATAAGGTTTTCTTGAGGTGAAGGTCCAAGGTAAAGGTTTTCATGTTGAAATTGTTTAAAGGTAATATTATGACTTACTTGATGTTTATGCTTGTATTGTATGTCTTTTATGCAACTATTCATGGTACTTCAAAAAGTGGCATAATGCATGGTTTCTAACCAAAATGTCCCTTTTAAAGCATGTCTTGCATGGTCATCATACTTAGTACATTTTGTGTACTAACCCATATTCTTCATATTTTCACTATAAGTGTAGGTTCCGGCAAGTGATCCCTCCTAGCTAGTTTGAAGTGTTGGATTGCTTTCCTCCAAGACTTGGTATGTCCTCATGGATTCGAGGATAAGACTTTTAAGTTCTTTTGTTCATGTAATAGACTTAATAGACTTCTTTTGATTGTAAAGGGCCGTGTCCCTACTTATGTTTTGTGACTGTGTCTAAGATGGCCATGTGAGACTTAGACTTCCGCTGTGTGTTTTTAAAGTTGTTTTAATGAAGTTTAAATGTGTGGATGTAAATAAGTTTTTTTTTATTATTCCGCACTATTTTCATTATTGAATGCAATGAATGACTATGTGGCTCGTATAAGACCCCTTCGGGGTTGAATACGCCATGTTACGACTAGGGGGTACTCTCGGGTCGTGACAAGGGGTGCAGCTGGTGATGATGCAAAACAACATTTGATGAACTTTGTGGCAATATGCAAGTCACAAGAGATCCCTGGAGTTAACCATACATCGATGAGATTGAGGTTGTTTCCATTGTCTCTTACTGGAGAGGCAACTAACTGGTTGAATGAGATACCAGACGACTCTATCAAAACTTAGACTGAGCTGAAGGAGCTTTCTTGGAACGATTATTTACAAAATCAAAAGAGCTGCAAATGAAGGATGAAATAAGTATGCATAAACAGCTACCAGGAGAAGCAATACATGACACCTGGTGGAGATTCAACCAAAAGCTGAAGAAATTCCCTAACCATGATCTCACTCAGAGGCATCTGAAACAAGCTTTTTATAGATCTTTAAACAATGTCACTAAACCTATTATTGATGCAGTGTGTGGAGGATCATTCATGAGGAAGACATTCTCGGAGAGCATGCAGCTGTTAGACGAGGTGTCAAAGAACAACAGGGCATGGTACACTAGAGTTGAAGAGGTAGGAGATCTGGGTTACACATTTGAACTCTCAGTGGAACAAAGGAAGAGAGCAGAAGAAAAGGATCAGTACATGGTGCACATGAGGAACCAATAGATCTGCTCACAAAGTATATTGTCGCCAAGTCTGAAAAGGTAAATGTTGTAGGACAACAAAACAGGTATGAAGATCTAGACGAGGAAGCTAACTACCTGGGTAACCAAGGAGGTTTCCGAAATTATAACTCTAGAAATTACGTTTACAATTCTGGAAATGCAGGTCGTATGCTAGGGAAGGACAATATGATATGCCAGCAAATAGAGAGCAGGGAAACTGGCAGAACAGAGATGGGTATAGAAATGATCGTAGTAGTGTCTATGTCCCCCCAGGTAATAGAGACCGGGCAAGTGGTAGTTCCAGCGGGTCTAAGCTGGAAGACATGATGGCCAAGGTACTCTAGAAAGTTGAATCAATTGATGCAGGGGTAAAAGAGATGAGAGGTGATTTCTCGAGCATGAGTCAACTGGAGGACTCTCACACCACCTCCATCAAGCAAATTGAGCAGCAGTTGGGGAAACTCTCAGCCTCATTAAATCAGAGGAAAAATGGGTCACTACCAAGTGACACAATCCAAAATCCTAAAATGGACGAGCACTGCATAGCCATCGCCATCAGGAGTGATAAAATTCTTACTGACTCTATTTTTGCAGGTACATGTATTGGAGCAAACTGGCATAAAGGAGGATGAAGTTGTACAGCTAGAGGACTTGTAGGATACGCAGCCAATAGCATAACCTGCGAGAGGAAAAAAGAAAGAGGTAGAGGGAAACATGCCTTTACAGCAGATTCCCAGACCACCTCTTCCTTTCCCTCAAAGGCTCAAACAGAAAGCTGAATATAAGAAGTTTGCAAAGTTCATCACCATGCTGAGGCAACTTTCAGTTAATATACCACTAGTGGAAGCTCTGGAGCAGATGCCAGGATATGCTAAGTTCATAAAAGACTTGGTTACAAAGAAGAGAGCGGTAAGTATTGATTTAACTAACGATGTTTATCATTACAGTGCCATTGCTACCAGATCTCTGGTTCAGAAAAGGGAAGATCCGGGTGCATTCACTATACCATGCGCCATTGGATCAATCAAATTTGCAAACTCTTTGTGTGATCTAGGAGCCAGTATCAACTTGATGTCGTTAGCCATCTACAAGATATTGGGGTTAGGAATTCCAATACCCACAATAATGAGGTTAATGATGGCAGATAGGTTAGTGAAGCGGCCTGTGGGAATGCGAAGTGGACTTTGAGGTTCCCATCATTCTGGGAAGACCATTTTTGGCCACAAAAAGAACCTTAGTAGATGTTGAGAGAGGAAAGCTGAAGTTCAGACTCAACAAGGATGAGGTAAAGTTCAATATTTGTAGGGCGATGAAGCAGCCACATGACATGAATGTAGTGTCTGCAATAGATGTGGTTATTGATGAAGAAATGAGAGTACCCATCGAAGAGAGGATGGCTATTGAAACTTTAGATGTAGTGCTAATGAACTTTGAAGCTGATTTCAGGTCGGACTATATAGAGACTATGAATGCTTTGCAGGTATGGGAGCACACTCGTATGCTCTAAAGAAACTAGACCTAGAGTTGAAAAACAGGCCAAGCCCTCCAAGAAAACCATCCATCGAGGAGCCACCAGTGCTGGAACTGAAATAGTTACCTAGTCACCTAAGGTATGTATTTTTGGGAACTAACAACACTTTACATGTGATCTTGGTTGCAGATTTAAATGATGAACAGGTTCATGAGGTGATCAAAGTATTGATAAGGTACAAAAAGGCCATTGGGTGGACCATTCCTGATATCATCAGAATACCTCCAGGCATATGCACCCATAAGATTAAACTCAAGGAGGACTGCAGCCCAAGCATTGAACACCAGTGAGGGTTAAACCCATCTATGCAAGAGGTGGTCAAAAAAGAGATCATCAAGTGGTTAGATGCTGGGGTGGTCTATCCCATTTCTGATAGCCACTGGGTCAGTCTAGTACTATGTGTGCCCAAAAAGGGGTGTATGACTGTGGTTGCAAGCGCTAAGAATGAGTTACTCCCATAGAGACCAGTTACTGGATGGCGAGTGTGTATGGACTACAGGAAGCTGAATAAGTGGACTTTGAGGGATCACTTCCCGATGCCTTGCATGGACCAGATGCTTGATAGGTTGGCTGGTAAAGGGTGGTACTATTTCTTAGATAGATACTCTAGCTACAACCAAATATCAATTGCTCCTGAAGATCAGGAAAAAGGCACTTTCACATGTCCTTATGGCACATTTGCGTTTAAACACATGTCATTTAGACTATGTAATGCACCAGCAACATTCCAAAGGTGTATGATGTCTATTTCTCAGACATGGTGGAGGACACTCGGGAGGTATTTATGGATGATTTTTCGGTGGTAGGTGATACTTTTGATGATTGTTTGCTAAATCTTAGCAAGGCCCTACAAAGATGTGAGGAAGGCAATCTAGTGCAGAATTAGGAGAAATGCCATTTCATGGTGAAGGAGGGCATAGTTCTTGGGCACAAAGTATCACAGAAGGGGATAGAGGTCGACAAGGCCAAAATTGAGGTTATTGAAAAGTTACCTCCACCAATCTATGTGAAGGGTGTTCGAAGCTTCTTAGGACATGCTAGATTCTATAGGTGTTTCATCAAGGACTTCTCTAAGATTGCACACCTCATGTGCAAGCTTTTGGAGAAGCTTTTGAATGCCTAAAGGAGAAGTTAGTCTCTGCCCCAGTGATCATTGGCCCAGATTAGGCCGAACCATTTGAGGTGATGTTTGATGCTAGTGGTACTGCTCTAGGAGTTGTATTGGGGCATAAGAGAAACAAGATGTTCCATATGTTTTACTATGCTAGTAAGTCACCGAATAGAGCGCAACGAAATGACACGGTCACGGAACATGAACTACTAGTTGTAGTGTACGCCTTTGAGATGTTCAGAGCATACTTGCTAGGCACAAAAGTGATAATTCATACAGATCATGCAGTTCTAAGATACCTCATGGCAAATAAAGATGCCAAGCCAAGGTTGATCAGATGGGTGTTGCTTCTCCAGGAGTTTGATTTTGAAGTTAGAGATATGAGAGGTTGTGAGAACCAAGTAGATGATCACCTGTCTAGGTTAGAGGCTGAAAAGAACAAAGTGTTGGAGCTTGAAATAAATAATGCATTTTCGGATGAGAAGGTATTAGCCACAACTCTTGACCTTATTCATTGGTTTGCTGATTATGCTAATTTTCTTGTTAGTGATTTGATGCCTGAAGGACTAACATTTCAGCAGATGAAAAGGTTCATGCACGATGTAGGTATGTATTTTTTGGATGAACCCTATTTGTACAGGATTTGTGTTGATAACATCATCAGGCGGTGCATCCTTGAAGCTGAGATGCTACATATTTTGGAAGCTTGCCACTCATCTCCAGTAGGTGGCCATCATGGCGGTGCTTGGACAGACCACAAGATACTTCAGTGTGGGTACTACTGGCCCACAATTCATCAAGATTCCATGGACATAGTAATGAGTTGTGAAGTGTGCCGGCAATAAGGAGCCATCTCTCCGTGCCATGAGTTACCCACAACACCTATTTTAAAGGTGGAGTTGTTTGATGTGTGGGGCATCGATTTCATGGGCCCATTTATGAGTTCTTATGGGTAGAAGTACATATTGGTTGCAGTGGACTATGTGTCCAAATGGGTTGAGGACGCTTTGCCTGAGAATGATGGCAAAAGTGTAGCTGGTTTCCTAAAGAAGAATATATTCTCAAGGTTTGGCACACCCAGAGCTATTATCAGTGATGGAGGTTCTCACTTCTGCAACAAGGTATTCAGTGCGCTTCTGACCAAGTATGGGGTTAAACAGCACAAGTTTGCAATGCTTTATCACCTACAGACCAATGGACAAGTAGAGGTATCCAACAGGGAAATCAAGGTGATCCTGGCTAAAATTATGAATGCCAACAGGACAGATTGGACATGAAAGTTAGATGATGCTCTATGGGCATATTGGATAGCTTTCAAGACGCCTATTGGTATGTCTCCACATCAATTAATGTTTGGAAAGGCATATCATTTGCCGGTTGAGCTTGAGCATAGAGCACTTTGGGCTTTGAAGAAGTTAAACCTTAGTTGGAGCGAAATTGCAAACCTATTGCTGGATCAGATCAATGAGATGGATAAATTTCGTTTGAGAGCTTATGAGAGGTCTGCACTATACAAGGAGAGGATGAAGTTGTACCATGACAAGCATATTGAAAAGAGAACCTTCAGTCCTGGTGACTTGGTATTACTTTTCAACTCCAGACTTCGTCTATTTCCAGGAAAATTGAGATCCAAATGTTCTGGATCGTTTAAGGTAACACAAGTGTTTCAGTCGGGTGCTATTGAGCTGGAAAATGATAAGGGCGAGAGGTTCAAAGCAAATGGCCAGCGAATCAAAGCATATTTGGGTGGTCCAAAAAATGTGAAGATCGTGGAGGAATGTAAACTTGATGAAGTCTGAGTAATCAAGTAACCTGTGTCGCGCTGCGACGTTAGATTGTGCGTTGCTTGGGAGGCAAGCCAATATGTAATTGTATTAGGTATTTTCCTGTTTCCTTATTTTTCTTTGTTTTTATAGAGTCATTGTGTGTTGATGTGTGGATGAGATACTGAGCTAAAAAGTACATGAACTGGGTGTAGACTGCTCTTCATGAGCAACCTCACAGACTGTGATGCCCTTCACGGGCAACTTCACGGTCCGTCAGCCTTAGCCCCATCTTAAAGGAGCTACTGGAATTTGCAAGAAAAAGGTTCACGGAAGGGTTCACGGTCCGTCAAAACTTACACAGACTGTTTAGCCTCTCGTGAACCTCAGGTAAGAATTTTAGTCCCCAAGTCATGATCACGACCTTTCACGGACCGTGATGCCCATCACGAGTGACTTCACGATCTGTCATCTGCCACAAGTAAGTGTTTATTGAAGTTAGATTCACGGGAACTCTCATGGACCGTGATTCCCATCACGGGCTATTTCACGGTCCGTTGTCCACACACCAGTTTACCAATACCCGACTCGACCCACGCGAAAGGAATAATTGAAATAAGACATATGTAGGTCTTCCAAAGCGCCAAAGGTCACTTTTGTTTCTATTCCTCTCAATATAACGGTTCTTTTTTTTCACAAAATCAAGGGTGTTCAACTTTGAAATTATTAATTTTCATCCCTAAATCGAAACCCTAGTCGATTTTGCCAAGAACGTGAAGTCACCAGTTCACTTTCTCATTTTTGTGCGAAATTCTCCTCTAATCCAAGTAAGTCTCTTCTAACTTGTTATTATTTGATCTTATCTACAAACAAGTTAGATTTACTTCAAATTAGTCGAGTTTAGCATGTGTATGTTGGGAATAATCTTGATTGTTATCGAATTGTTATGGGTTAGTTGAATTATAGAAATTTAATTGTTCTTGTGTAGGGATGATAACAGTAGGTTGATATTTTGTTTGTCTAAATTGGTTGAGAGCTCATGTGTTAGTTAAATTTATTCAGAAAATTAGTGATGTGTGGATATGTGTTGGGTGTGATCCTATGTAAAAATAAGAGTTTGGTATTGTAATTCTAAATTATACTGTTTGTGGGAAGTCGATGACTAATGAAAAAGTCAAGTGTAAGACCACAATAGGCTTCACGGACCGTGGAAGCTACTACGAACCATGAAACGAATCGTGGACCACACTTGAATTCCTTCCATCTTTCTGATAAGTTCACGACCAGTATTACGGACCGTGGTTCACTCCACGAGCCGTGAAGCCATCCGTGAACATTACTTGGTCAAGTTTTTGTGGCACACTGATGCACACTGCTTTTGTATTAACTCCACGAAGGGTTTAACGGACCGTGGTACCTACCACGGCCCGTGAGAGCTCCCGTAGAGTTTACTTGGTTGTAAATTTTTTTTATTATTATTTTTTCTGTACTTTATTTCTGTCTTCTTTTGATTTTGTGGCCCTTCCTAATGATAGATTGGGTGACGGCATTCTTAAGGCAAGGCGTCACGATGTAATCACACAGGGAAAGTCTGAGCACCCAATAGTGTGTCATTTTACTATGTTGTGTACTAATGAGTTTTGTGTTCTCACATACGATGCCTGCTCGAAGAAAGAACGCAACCAAACCTGCCCCCAACTTCTTCTCAATTAGAGGGTCATGACAACTCCGAAGCTAGTAGTTCTGAGGTGCAAATAAATGTCACACCTGAAGATCACTCAGCTCGGGCTACTAGAGTACAGACAAAGAAAGATATTCTCCAGGACACTCCTCCTCAATCTGAAGAAAGAGGAAGTCATTCCGGTAGAAGTAAAGCATCGGGTAGTGAATCTAATGCTGGTTCAGGTAGCCAATCTACTGATAACTCAGGGGGCAGTGCAGAATCTGAAAGCGGCTTTCAGGAAGATGCAAACACCTCTCCACCTGCGGTAAATACAAAAGTCGATACTAGAGTATGAGAGGAGGCAGCTACTATAGATGAGGATGTAGAGATCACTGATGATGATACCATGGTGATGTATGTGAACATCCATGAACCTGATCCTGCAGCGAGGCCGCAACTGATTGCCTATTACCTTTCCATGTGGACTATGAACCGGTCCAAAAAATTCTTCAACAAGGGTATTGTGACCAAGAATGGAAGATTCAAGAGGCACACAATCATGCCTGAGACTAGGGTGGTGGTAGCTGATATCAAGGTATTCCCATTTATCGGACATTTCAGTTCCATCAGTTTGACTGGATGGAAAATGTACCTGGAGAATACTCCAGCCACCTGGCCAGAGAGTTTTATTCATCTTATGCAGCGACGCTAATAAACTTTGTTGCTGAAACAGAGACTACGAAACGGGGACAGAGAGACAATGCCATTGCATGGGGTCCACTCAACTCAATTATAGTTCGGGGGAATCAATAGATATCTCTGAGGCCACTATTAACAGGATGTTGCATGGCCCGGATTACACTGCACCAGATTCAATTGGCCTTTTTTAGGGCAAACATCATGCAGTAACCAGTGATACTACCATGGAGATTCAGGAATCTCGAGAGAGGGTCTTACGCTAGATTGCATGACAAATTTCCATCGATGGGGAAAATGCAGTTTGGGTCACAACGATGCCAACACTTATTAAAAAAGCATCATCGTCTTTTCCAGCCAAGGTTTGGTGGGCTGTTGTCCGTGCGTAATTGAGGCCGACGGCTAATAATAACACCTTATCTCCTTCACTGGCTTCATTGGTAGCATGCCTCATGGTTGGATACCCGATAAATGTGGGGCGGATTATAGCGACCGAGATAAGAGACAGGGCACTGAATGAGAGACCCGGACTTTCATTTCCTTTGATAGGGAAATTATGTCGACAAGCGAACATTCCTCCGAACAGGCTGGTTGACAGATAGGGTGAAGCATTCAGACTCACCCAAGTTTCTAGGATCAAAGATTTCGCGAACCATCTCTTTGGTGTGAAATCTGCAGCTGTAGGTACCTTCGTTTTTGTCCATCACGTACCAATTGACATCCCGCATGCAGATAGAGATCCATAACAAGGAGAGTCATCACAACCTTCCACAGGGGAACCACCACCTCCAGCTTCAGCCTCCCAAGCTCCAGGTACCTATGTCACCATTCCTATGATTTTTCTTAAGAAATTGGTTACAGATCAGCGCCAAACCAGGACATTGGTAGATCATATTGTAATCTGAATGCCTCAAATAATAGAGACAAATGTGTTAGCTACGAAAAAAGAGATCAAAGATGAGATGCGGAAGGAGCTGATTGTCTTAAAAGACAGAATGGATGGTTTGGAGAATCTTGTCCAGGATTGATTTCAGGCCACCGGTTCAGTAGATACTGAAGAGTTCAAATCACAATTGGCCGAGATGAGAACTCAGGTTGCTAAATTGGCTGCACATCCAGTACATGTACCCACTCCGGTCATGCCGGACTCTTTGATGCAATTGCTAAATCAGGCACCCTCCACTCAATCACTTAATGATGTCTGGGGTGAACTGCCCATGAGTAAGTCTGGCAACAGGAAACATAGAGCCAAAGAATCTGATGAGGAGACACATGCTGACCTGTCCAGAGAGAAAAAAAAGCAAGAAAAGAAAGCCCGCAAGGCATCAAGGAAGGAAGCTAGAGAAAAATAAGCTTGTGAGTAACAACAACGAGATGCAGTGTTAGCTGGAGTTTCTGGTAGCGAAGTACCTGCCCCGGCAATTGGTGGCCAGCCTGATCATGTGCTGAGTTCTGAGACTGCACCCGTTGATAAGGGTGTGGATGTTGATCCAACTAACGGCGCCTAGAGTGTCGTAGGTATGACCCCTCCTCACAGCCCTGTTTTATTTTCTCTATTGACTTTGAGGGCAAAGTCCATTTTTTAGGGAGAGGTGATGTTTGCATAATCAATGACACGTCTTACAGTTCGGGTGTCTACGATCGTGCAATAGTATAGTAACCTAACCAAGGGTTGGGATCGTCCCAAGAGAGTGGTTTTGAGAATTTATAGAAAAGTAAAACTTAGCTATAACTAGTCATAGCTAAAGACATTAATAAGTAAAAATATTGTAAATTAAAGAGGGACACAAAAGTGTCAATTAAGAAATGGGAGTTTTGTCGCAAGTAAGCTAAAATTAGCAAGATTAACAAGAAAATCTAACAAAGAGAGCGGGATTCTTGGGATGTGACCGGAATACAAGTTAATCTAAATTATTGAGTACATGCTTTCGATAGAAAATTTATAGAGTAATAGTGACTAGGCTAAGCTTTGTATGGGAATAAGTTCTCTCTCGAGCAACTTACCCCGTTTCAAATGGGTTCCTCTCGGACACCCACTTGCCGCATGAAGACCAGCCTACACCTTACCCCACTCACACTCTCGAGCTGAGTGTTAGGATATGGGACTAGGGCTCACCCTCTCGGGCTGAGCCTCATGTCGACCCACTCCTTAGGC